TTTTTTTTTGAAAACTACTTATTTTCATGTGTTTGCGATTTTTAATAGCAGAGTAAAACTGCACCAATATATAACTGCACCATTTTTTTTTACCATAGTTTTTGCCCGTGGTTTGATTTGCTTAATTGGATGAACGTTCCTGTTCATTATTGTTGAAAGAAATCTGAATCTTTGACATGTAAAAATGCTTGAACTAATTAAAAATTTGAAGCAGGGTGAAAACATTCGAATAAGAATTTTTTTTTTCATTTTACTTATTCGACGAAATAAGTTGTTTTATTTATAGCGTAGCGATTGCTTAACAGTACGGAGCGTTGAATTTTAATGGCATTTGAGGATGTTGGTATATACCTGAAATGTGGGCCATATTGCATTTTTGCGGAAGACGAAGGAGTAGCGATGGGCCATGTCAGTTTTTGGAATAGGCTTTTTCAGAAAGCTGTAGAATTGAGTGGGAAAAACAGTTGCAGTAGGATGGTATTCTTTAGTTGTTTGAGAAACAGATTACTGAGTAGATGATGAAAGTTGAAGAAGTCATTGCGGAAGTTATGATGGATAAAAAATAGAAGAAAAACTGAGGCTGTTGTATTTTTTTGGAAACACGCGGTCTAGCTGTTGCAGTTGTAAAGTTTTAAAAATAGAGACTTATTGATTCTGAATTTGCTGTTATTTTTGTTTAATGCCTGCGTATATTGTTTCTGTACGATAGTAACAATTATTTTTAAGGAAGGCAAGGAAATTTTTTCCTTCTGTTTTTTTTTATTTCCTGGACTACTTTTATTTTGAAAACATGGAAATTTTATTTACGCTATTTGCAAGAGCATTCAGGAACTTTTATCTTGGGTTGTTTTGTTAGCCAGAATGCACTTTATTTGACGGCATTGCGCTTGTTAAATAGTTTGTTGTTTTGCTCCTGTCATCTTTGTCACTGTGTGTGCTGCAACGCTGAAAAAAAAGTTTTTTGTTTGGACGAAAGTGAAAATTTGATGATCTACAAGATAAATCGGCTGACGGTTCCTTTCATGTAGCTTTTTAAGAAATTACTAACTAGTATGGTTCGCATATTGCTATTGTTTTTTGAGCGCTGTTACGTTTCAAGTAATCCTGTTTTCCCACATCAGAATTAAGATGTTTAGCTGCGGAATGCAATGTTGATACCTCTTGCGGCTGTTACTTCAGCTGTTCGAAGCTGCATTAGGAATGTTAATCGGTTATCGACCAGAGCTTCTCTACCGGAAGGGCCATCTTTAGCGGATTTTATTGGATCAAGTGGGTGTTTGGTTAATTATAGTAGCTACAAGAGGGTAATTTTCAGAATAAAAGTAACTTATACTTCTTCTATTGTATCTGGTAATATTCTCAAACCAGTTTACTGGGTTTACACGGCATGAACTTTTTATAGAAAATAGAGAAGATGCAGTAAGAAATTATCAGATAAGGTTAAAGAGGGAGAGGGGCGAAAAGCGTCTCAGATTACCACCGTGGCTAAAAAGGGACGTCACTCACGTGGGAGAAAATCCAAAGCACGCTGCTCTAAGGCGGCAGATGAAGGGCCACAAGTTAGCCACTGTATGCTGCGTTGTCTTTTTAAAATAGCAATCAGTCGTTAAATATTTGTATGAACTTCAGTTTTTGTAATTAGTTGTAATCAAGTGTTTAGGTTTGCCAGGAGGCTCGATGTCCGAACATTGGAGAATGCTGGGGAGGCGCTAATGGAGCACCATCCACTGCAACAATAATGTTAATGGGAGATACGTGCACCAGAGCTTGCAGGTATTATATATATGATTATTTTTAAATTGTTATTTAAACCAAGGAGCATTCGGTGTGCTTGTTTTTTAACTCGCAGAAGTGTTTTGTTCAGGTTTTGTTCAGTGAAAACAGCGAGAAATCCTCCCCCTTTGGACTCCAATGAGCCACAAAGTACCGCTGACGCTATAGCCGAGTGGGGAGTCGATTATGTCGTATTGACTTCTGTCGATAGGTAATATATTGCTATTTTAGAAATTGTAATAGCACATTTACTTTCCATATAAATTTTTTTTTTACTGATGAATTCGTTTAATCATAAATGTGATTTATATTGTTTAGAGATGATATTGAAGATGGCGGTGCTTCACATATAGCTGAAACCGTACGATGTTTACTTAGAAAATCACCTTCGTTGATTATAGAGTGCCTTGTACCAGACTTTAGCGGTCGCCTAACTAGTGTTGAAGAAGTAGTACAATCGGGACTCCATGTTTACGCTCATAATTTGGAAACAGTTAGGAGATTAACACCTGAAGTGCGAGACCCGCGAGCAAATTATGACCAGTCTTTAAAGACGTTAAAACATGTGAAGAAGGTTCTGTTTTTTACCATTATATGGCGTCACGGTTATTCAAATTTTATGTGCAGCTCGATGTTTCTTTTTAATATTACTTGTAATTCTTGTTTTTCTTTTTCTTTTAAGATTCGCAGTGATGTGTTAACCAAAACTTCGTTGATGTTGGGGCTGGGGGAAACGGAGGAAGAAGTTTTGAGTACAATGAAAGAACTGAGGGAATTCGGTAACTTTTTTAACTGGAATGGATAGTGATTTTTACCAGCTAATTTTCAGACTTGGAGCTAGTATATACCAGTCTAGAATTTTTTTGATACATTTTTTTTGC